CTATAAAAAAATAAAAAGTAAGTGAATTTAGTAAATATGCAAAGAAAAAGACAGAAAATAGTTGGCGCGCAGCCTTGATTTTTTTTATTTTTTTATTAGAGATTCAATCACATATTATTCATCTTTTATTTTTTTAAAAAAAAAATGATAAATGACATGTTATATGTGACCATGAAAAGCATGTTTGGCCCCCTGTCATTCCAGCTCGTAACCTTTGGTTTATCCTGTGCACCAATCAAGTGAGCTTCAATATAAATTTATTATTTAGATTTTAAAATATTAAATAAATATTTAATTTGGTTTAGTGTTTATATAAACAACAAAATATTATAAGTAATCCCAATTCTTTTAGAGTGTTCAAGTAATGATAGTTAGATAATCTTGAAAAAGTTTAAAGGTTGGGGACTGATTCATGATTCAATGAATATGTGAGGGCTTATTTGTACTTATCCAAACTTGCCTTTCCTCCTGGCGTTCTTTCATCCCATCAAGGGGACATTTTCTAATTTCGCAACCTCAGACGTCATGGTGTCCACGTGTTATGATGTTAGCTAATAGCTTTAATTTTTTAAGGAAATATATTTTTTTCATTAATTTAAATTAAATTAATTTTATAAAAATTTAGACATATATGGTGATTTAAAATATCCAAACAATTTAGAAATAAGTTTTATGTATTAGATAATTAATTAATTTTTTAATTTTAATTAATTTTTTATTTTTCTTAATTTGATGATTGATATTTATAAAATGTCTCATTAGTGATTTTAAAGACTTTTTAATGTTTAAATAAATATTTTTTAAATAAAAAATACAATAATACTTTTTTTTAAAAAAAATATAAAAATATATATATAACAAAATATTAAGAATTAAAAATTTATAGGCATGAGATCTAAAAAATTCATAGAATATTTATATTATATAGATCTTGTTTTTTTATAAAAAAAAAATTGATATATTATTTTAACGTGATAATATTTAAAGAGGAATTATTATTTTTTATATATTATTAGTTCTCATAAAAATATGATAGGTTCATAAATTTTTTTTATATATTTAAATATATTAAAATTTTAATATTTTTAACTTTAATATTTTATATTAAAAAAATAAGAATAAATGAACTAAGTTTTAAAACAAAATAAGAGGCTCTCTATATCTATTAAATTACCACCTCATCTTTCATTAATTTTTTAACCAATAAACTGGCACAAAAATAACATATATATATATATATATATGTATGTATATTTCACGCTGCTCCATCACAATCATATTTCAGACAACAGCATTCACAAAAATCCTTAAAAGTATATAGAATTCAATTTAAAAATGATTATGAGCTAGATCTTAAAGGTACACTGGTTCGATCATGAAAATGATTTTCAGTAACGTTTTTAAGATGTTTACTTGGTCAAAGGTCCAGGGTCTTGGCGCTCTTCCCTGAGCAGCCAGAAAAGAAAGTCCTGGGAAGCCTGTCTCCTCCATTCACAGTTCGGCGTCTAGCGCTTTTTTAATAACTAGGCTCTCCAGTCCAGCTGCCTATAAAAAGAATTATTAAAATATGCACCAACAAGAGCTGGCCAATTTGGACTGCCTCGCCTGCATAGCTTGGAATATTGCTTCATCTCTTACAAGAGGATTAAAAAAAGTAATAATAAATTCTCTTCAAAGACGCCCTTAAATACTATTATTTTATTTGATATAGTGTTATCCAGAATATCAAGAATTTCTTTCTTGCAAGTTTCTGCGACAGCTTCTGAGTGACAGAGTCAAAGGGAATCCTCAATTATGCTGTTCTAAGTTTTGTTGAAGGAGTTCTGTTCATTGAATTTTGCCCTTTGAGCAGCCATGCATGAAGTTTGTTCCTTTTCCTTTTCCCACAACAGCATAGAGTCAATTATTGCAATTTCAAATTTACTTCCTCGGCATATATACTCGCAAAGAAAAATAAACCTTTCAGAGTGATGTAATTATAACTATAACAGTAAAATGTCTGGGAAAATCACCATAGAAATTATTTTTCTTCACCATTTCTTTTTTCAACTGCGTCCTTCTATGTTCAAATTGAGGTTTAATTTGTTATAATTTATCAAGTTTGGGGAAAATTAAAAAATTGAGATCAAAGTGTGAAACACACATGAAATTCAATACCACTCTAAATTTTGATTCAAAATTGATTTTTATCCTCGTACTTTCACTTGTCAACCTTCACAATCCCAACAATTTTCCAAAATTTAATTTTAAATCAATTTTTTTTTTTCTCTGTTTATGTGTTTTATAAAAAAAATAGAAAATCACTAAATTCTAATAAGGAGAGATAAAGTCATCAATCCTAAACACTAAAAAAAGTTAATTTTAATATTATTAAGTTTCATTTAACAAAAAAAATTTGATAATAATTGTTTTAAACTTTAATATTGTTTGAAAAAACATATCAAAGCTGATAAATTTTTTTTAATTGGTTTGATTTTACATTATCTAAAAAAAAGTCCTTGTTTCTTTTTATTTATTTATTTATTTTAATTTCATCTTCTTATTTTTTTTTAAAATTCTCTTTTTATTATCATATAGCTAGGTAGAAAATAAATTAAAAAAATATCATTTAACTTAATGAAGTTTATATCCCAGGTTATGACTTTAACGAATTTAACCAAGAAATAAAGTTCAATCTAATATATTATTGTCAATAATTTTTTTTAAAATATTTTGAATTAATCTTTTTTTATATGTTTTGTTTAGATTTTTGTGGGATTAACTGTTTTTAATTTGCATTTAAAGGATTATCACTAGCTCAAGTATTATAAGTTTGATAAATTAATTAAAAATGATTTGAATCGTTTCAATATGTTATCATATTAATTTTTTATTTAATTTTTTTAATCTATAATCTTAGATTTTTTGATTATTTAATTTATTTTAATAAAAAAATTGATCATACCAGTAATGAATTACTATTTAGTAAACCATCATAAAAATCTAACTTGACTCGGTCCAACGTTGCTCCCAAAAGAAATATTTATATTTACATGTGACGCTAGATCTCTAGAATCATACGTATCATCAAGAAAAAAGGGCACTTGATCAGCACTTCAATTTTATCTCATAATCAAATTAATAGAATAAAATATTAATGCAACGTGCTTAGGAGGGCAGCTGCAGAGGTAGTTAATTAAACGACTGTGTTTTGAATTGACAACACGTGGAACGTAATCCTTAAATTATTATTTTTTCCTTTTTGATAATGGGAACTTTATACCTAAAATAATGGATCGAAATCCTTTTATATTTTTTCTTTATAGAACCATTTTTCTTATATATATATAAAAAAAGAAGACAGAACCATGTTCTTTCTTACAGAATGGGAATTGTGAACGTTAAGGTAAATTTTAATTTAATTT